ATTGTGATAAGAGTTGTACGAGCCCCCAATACAATGATTACCTGATTAAACCCCCCAAGGGGTTTTACTCTCACTTTACCCCGAGTACAGCCCACGCGCTACTGCCCTTCAGAGGGTGCCCAGTGGCTGATTCCTCAGTCTATTCCTCCTTCACAGGCTGTTCTTAGTTGGAAAACTCCAGTGAAACCCTTTCACCACCTGGGTGACCCTGATGGTATTAGGAATAATGGCTGACATCGCTTCCAGCAGCACAGCAACATGGAAGCCACCGCAGTACGACAACTGACTGAGGTGCACCTGACCCAGGCCATGATAGCGCCATTTACCGTCTATGCACGTGAAAGCTGAAAAATCAATGGGGAAGACCAAAGAAGAAGCGATGCATTTGAATTACGGAGAATATGAAATATATCACAAACTTCCCGAAGAACAAACAAATCTGTCTTTGAAGAAGTACAACCGGAATGATCCTTTGGAAGCGAGGGTGATGAGACTTAGTCACACACACACACACACACAATTACACGGGGCGTGGTCTCAGGAGAGATCGGTCCTTGGAGAAGGACATCGTGCTTGGTTAAAAAAGAGGAGTGGTGAGCAGGAGGAAGACCTCTGGCCGGATGGATGGAGGCAGAGGTAGCAACATGGGCTCACAGGGAACGAGTGGGAGGATGGCGCAGAACTGGCAGCCCTCAGTTCGGTTGTACGCAGGTAGAGTCGCTGAGAGTCAGAGCCAACTGGACAGCACCTAACAGCAACAATAAACACAACCCAGGTGGACCAGCCACTGAGTTGAGCGACTTTATTTCATCTGTACAGGGTCATGGGTAGAGCCTCTGTGTTCCGATCTGAGAGTATGGGAGATCACAGCTCAGCATGGTCAAATGGCCAGTTCATGACAGCCAAGCCATCGGGGAGCGAACCAAACACCAACATCGGCCCTCGGACTCTGAGGCCCCAGTCCTGAACCCCAAGGGAAATGGCCTCCCAAGGAACTGGGCCATGTGGCCAAACATTGAAGAAGGAAGTGGGTGGTGGATGGAGAGCGAATGACTTAGTCTCCAAATTCTCTTCAGAGCCCAAGAGATTTCAGTAAGCCTGGGCATCATGAATACTACTAGTGGCAGAGACAGAGAGGCAACAAACATATATATAGATCTATCGGTCAACTTGCAAAGGGGTGGAGTCTAGCCTGTCAGTCAGGTCATAGCCAATGAGGCCTCTGAGTGGGCATGGCCTTCTCCTGCGGATTCTAAGAACTCCTGTCTTCCTCCGTGGAGGTGGGACACGAACTTGCTGTGAAACATTCCTGAAGACAAGCCACATGGAGCTGCACTGAGGAAGCCAGAGCCCTGGAGCTGGAGGAGCGATGTGGAGACCCACACCAGCACTGAGATGCTTCCACCGCTACTGGATCCACAAGACTTTCCACCTGTGATCTTCCTGCATTCAGCAATGCATGTGTTGCGTGAGTCTAAAGAGGAGTTTACAGGCTGGTATCGGACATAATGGGCTAATATTGGACTTATGGATTTGATCTGCACTGGGCTGGGATGTTTCCTTAATATACAATTATCCTTTATATAAAGCCTTTTCTTAAACTCATATGAGTGTCCGTGAATTTGTTTCTCTAGTCAACCTGGACTAACATACTATCTTTGCAAAACTTACAGAGATGTGCTTGCTACCTCTGGAGTCTCCTCTGTCCGGAACAGGGCATTGGACGAGTTGCTTCATTTGGATGATGACGGTGCCAAGATTTACCAGGCCCGTGTGGAAGAACCACACCCCAAATAAGAGGGGGAAGCTGGGCCTTCTCTAAGCCCTTCCTGAGTCCTACACCAGAAGAGGCCTTCTTGTGATGGGGATTCTGGGAGCGAGGGGACCCTGAGATCTGTTGCGTGGGCCTTGTGCTATGTGGGAGAGCCCGGCTTCTTCAGCCTTTTCCCAGCCACTTCCACGTTAATTAGTAAGGGTATCATTTTATAAATTACAGCTGCGTGCCAGAGGAAAGCAAGAGTTTATCTTAATCCAGTCAGCTGGGTGAGAGACGGTAGCCTCATTTTAGATGGCCAGCTCGGAGGATTCCCCCTGGAGTCGGGGAATGACAGGGCTTCTGAGAGAAGTCCCAGTGGGGTCCCCCCAACAAGCTCCACATCCGCCTCCCCACCGTATCCCTGGTGGGGCTTGATGGAGGGATCCTGGGGGGTGCTGAGTGGCATCTTCTCAACCACTGGCAATTCGGATTAGGACGTGGATCCTCTGAGTGGCCCACAAAAGCTGTCCTAGGTCACACTAGGATTCCTGGGAGGCCCCAGTTCCGGCACAGAGGAGGCTGCCAGGTGCCTAGGCTCTGCTGGAGAGCAGACATCCAGGAGGAGGGCTGTTAAGAATCAGGAGGAAGCGGCAGAGGACCCCATGTCTCAGCTTGACAGTTTGAACTCGGCCCCATTGGGATGACAAAGTCTCGACCAGTGGTTCTCAACCTTCTTAACGCTGTAACCCTTTAATACAGTTCCTCATGTGGTGGCCCCAAAACCATAAAATTATGTTCATTGCTACTTCATCACTGTAATTTTGCTACTGCTATGAATGGGGCAACCCCTGTGAAAGGGTAGTTCGACCCCCAAAGGGATCACAAACCACAGGTTGAGAACCACTGGTCTAGACCATTTGGACCAGGAAAAAGAATGCCACTCACCTGGGAAAACCATTGCTGGTGGGAGGACCTGCTGGTCCACCACAGTCACAGCATGGGGCAGGTGGACACACTGAGCAGACTCCCTTCTCTGCCATCATCAGACTCCTGGCCTGGCTGGGCACACCCAGCTACTCCCCTTTATTGCCCTGAAATTCTCTCGATCCCAGAGCCATGGGTTCTGGCTACCTGCTCACCACCTCATATGCTCCACACTGCTGTTCCCTGGCACTCTGTGATAGAAATCATGACACTGCAGCCCACATGTTCAGAGATGAACCAGGGGATAATACTGCCCCCTAAGACCCCTCTACCAACCACGGCAGCTTAGGACTAGGCAGACATCAAGGCGCCATGGGTCCAGATGATCTGGGCACCCGTGGTCATCAGTCCTGGGCATCCTGGGAGGATCCGAACATGCAGCCTAGACTCTCTGGAGCAAGATAGCACTGGTCACCATGGCCACTGCTCAAGGACTGGCCAGTCTCCTTCTGGAATGCCTATTTCCTTGTAAGCCAAGCATGTTCTGTCGACTGTGAGATCTCACATAGGGCCCACGGAGAAGTGCCACTGCCTTGCAAGGTGCCACCCACTCCTGGGAGGGTTGGAGAGGGCGGGGTCCAACTTGAGCGCATGATACAACAAGCCGGCCATGGCCCAGGCCCCGTGGGACACAGCAGCCAGCAGCCACGCCGTGAGCCCGAGAGTGGCTGCCTCGCTCTCTTCGACGCCCGCTAATGAGAATAGCTGAGTCGGAGCGACCAGGGGTCCCCCATGCAGGGAAGGAGCTAGGACTCCCGGCAGGGGTGGGGGTGGGTGGGCTGCAAGAAAGCAGCCCCTGTCTGTCACTTAAACAAAAGCAGAGCCCGCAGCCTCCTGTGCGGTCTGTACTTGGGCTGTCATCCAACACCCCATTACCGTGTCACGGCGCAGCGCACCCTCGCACAGGTCACTTTGTTTAAAATGACATGGGTAATGCACATGTCAGCAGGCTGACAGTCCTGGCCGTCCTTCAGAGATAAAGCCCTCCCGACGAGGGCCCGCTCTTATCTAGGGGACACGCGCTGGCCTATCATCCGAGTCAGGCGGAACATGATTTCTCCAGAGAGCACTTTTTTCATTTCCTGATTTTAAGGAAATCAAATAAGCACCATTTGTCTTCATCTGAATATGCTTGACCTGCTCAAATGATGATGTCGTGCATTTTATAACAGGCTGCATTTGCTGAATTCAAATGAACGACGGACAGTGCCAGAGAACTGGGAGATCTCCCCTCTCCAGGCCCCGGGATGTGGGGTGGAAGGGAGGAAAAGCCTGGAGGGCTTGGTGGGAGGAGGGGCCCACCTGCAGGCCCTGTGGGAGGGGGCGATCCCAGAATAGTACCCCAGGGATCCAGAGACCCAGGGCAGACTCAAATGGGGACAGGAGAATCATCCCATTGATTCTAACCAGTAGGGGATCTGTGATGTCCAGGTATCTCTTGGGACAATGTAGGCAGCAGTGGCCAAAAGGGATCAGCGGGCAGACATTTGTTTGGGGGATTTAAACAGCTGGGAAGGCAGATCAAGCAAACATACAGCCCTTTTCTTTCAGGCAGCAGGAAACACACTTTACCAGATCATGATCTGATCTTACCGGGGCTCAAAAGCCAAACGATCCCTCATGGATACACAGTGAGCTAGACACAGGGAGAGTGGCGGCCAGCAGCCTTGTGACAGTATGTGTCCTGCTGGAAGAACCACCCTCCCACCTGGCCATTTACCTGAATGAGAAAAGCCAAGTTCCCATCTGGTTTCCCCTGCCTGCCACACCCCCACCCCCACCACGAGGGTCCCAGAAACATACATAAGATAGGACTTCAACGTGTGTAGCAGGAAGGTCACTAAGTCCCGAGGAGCAGGAAGTGGTATGCGGGCCAGTAACACAAATGCAGCAATGATCTCATAAGCACATACAAGTTGAGTGTTCTTATCATGAGTTTCAAAGAAATACCACAAAGCCAGATGGCTATTAAAATAAATAATCCCACCCACCCCCCGCTTTTAATATTCTTTTGTGTTTGCAGGTCGTCTTTCGTCTTGTGAAAATGCGGTGTCTCAGATAAGCACTATCAAGAGTGTTTGTTCTATAAAATGGAAAGAGGACCTCACCGATTCAATGTGCTCTATCTGGTCACAGACAGTCTCCTCGGGTGACTAAGGGTCAATCTTACCCCAGTGGAAAGGGTGCTGTCAGCATGAAGCTGTGTAGGGGGACCCTGGGGCTCACGGGGTACCATGGACGGTGTCCATGGCGGCCTTACCTTCTCTTCCTGGTCGCTGTCACTGTCACACTGGAAGGAAAGAGAAGAGACGAGGGTTAGGAGGATTGAGTGTGGTTTATCTTGCTTTTGCTTTTAATGACCCAAAGACAAAGCAAGGCGAGTCAACCACGCCAGACACACTGGCTGAACTGGAAAGCGCTTTGTCGGCTCACGTGCTCATAAGCAGAATCAGCGATGCAATGCCATGAAGTCCCTCTTTGATCTACCCTAAAGCCTAGGCCACGTGCCCTCCCTGGGCAAGCTTCTCAAGGGGCCCCCTCCCGGTGCGGTGTGTGGGAGAAGAAGCCCTCTGGACACCAGCACGGTGAGCCAGGTGCAGTCAATGTGACGCGGAGCAGAATCAGTTTCTTAATGGAGACCGTCTACCCCCAGGTCTTCCTGCATCGAAGGCATTTGTTGTTGTTTTCCTGCAGGAAAGGAGGTTAATAGTCCAGCCCTGCATGCTTTTCTTCGGACGCGAAAGGATGCAGATCACAGTGGGCAAGGCTCACTCCTTGGTACGGCTGCCTTTTCCAGAGTCTAGGGGCCCAGAGAAAAGGTGAAACATTCCCCACAGAGAATACATGCCAACGGGCAAGAAGTCTGGGTAATAAGTGAATAAGATGGGAGAATTATTCCATATTATTATCCAGGGTAATGAGATCACACATATCTAAGAGACCCTGAATTCTAACCGTTGACCCCCGCATGGGTTTACCCAGCCCAGAACTCACTGCTAGCAAGCTGGTTCTGACTCCTAGAGACCCTTACGGGCAGGGGGTTTCTCAGACTGTAGCTCTTTATGGGAGTAGAAAGCCAAGTCTCTCTCCCATGGAGCTGCGATGGTTTTGAACTGCTGACCTTGAAGTTAGTAACCTACACATTAGCCACTAGGCCACCAGAGAAGGAGAATTCACTACAAGATTTGGGTTCTTCTTTTTGGGAGTATAAACAGTAACAATGACACAAGACAAAACATCACACATACCATAAAATCAAGTGTCTGGCTTTCGAATTTGGGGTTAAAAGTCCCTGTTAACAGGATCTGATTTTGGGACAAATATTTAGGAAGCAAAGCTATCCATTCATTCCCTCTACAACCCCAAATCAACCCTACCAAGCTGGACCAACACCAAGATCTAAGTGGCGCTGAAAGCCGCGTTCAGTTTGGCAGATAAAGCTAGGACATGGGCAGTGAGTAGGGATATGGCATGATCAGAGCGACAGCCTAAGACTCTGACCCTTCCCATGGGGTGGAGGACAGAGGCAGGTCACAAAGAGGCCAGTCTGATAACTGGGACACTGTTCAAGCAGGGGGGTGGTTGTGTTTGGGAAAATGAAGATTGGCGGGCAGAGGAATTCTAAGGATAGACCAATAGGTCTTGAAAACAGGGGCATGGGAGGCAAGTAAGAGGGATGGGTGATGACAAGATTCCCTGGTGTGGTCACCTGGGCATGGGAGCTGATGTGCTGAACAGGAAATACGTTTGCTTGTGTCTAGATACCCACAGCCATTCACAACCCTCTTCTCCCTCATCAGCACCTTCTCCTGAAGCTGCGAGTCTGACCAGGGCAGATGTTTTTTTCTTAATTCTCTTGCAGGTCCTGAGCAGCCTGGAGGCCCCTTTGAGGACAAGAAGGCTGGATGAACTAGCTGTTGAGGGTCTAGAGAAAAAAAAAAATCTCTCCTCGATAAAACGGGAAACACAGAAACACTCTGCCTCTGGCCCTTGAACATGGCTGTGTGAGGGGGAGGGTGATATCCGGATCTTTGGCTGTCACCTTGTAACGATGAGGGCAAACAATAACACCCAAACATCCAAGTACAGAAACACGGTCACGGAGCCGAGGGGAGAACCAGCCATTGGTCTCAGCCACTCGATCGACGTCGGAGCAGTCTGTCTCTGGACTTCTTGGGTCCAGATAGAATCATAATACTGCTACCTGGTCAACTGACATCACCGTTAGTGTTTTCCATAAGAAGTCCATCCCCACTGCAGTGGGTAGCTTGTGCTCATGGGCACCAGCTGAGCCTGAATCTTCTTTCTGGACGCACACTCTCGGCCATCGGGTCAACCCTGACTCACAGTGACCGGTCGCACAGAGTAGGGTGCACCCATGGCTTTCTGAGACTGAAATCTTCAGGGGAGCAGAATGCTTCATCTTCCTCTCTCAGAGCAGCTGGTGGTCTCGAACTGCCGATTTGTAGTGACAGTGATTTAACCAAGCACAACTGCAACATGTTCAACCAACCTTGTGTGTGTGTGTGTGTGTGTGTGTGTGTGTACCCTGCCGAATGACTGCTCTATGACCATACACTAGGTAAGCACCTAGGTAAGGTGAATGAGAAGAGCCAGAAGAGTTGGCCGGAGGAGGGCACTCAACCTTCCCCTCAACGTTCCTATCAACGTTCTCCTCCACGTCAACTTCCCCCCAACTTCTTTGCAATCTCCTCCCACCATTCTCTTGATGTGACGTCTCCACTCTCTCACCAACCCTCCTTGAAGGCTAAAGCTCTGGGCCACATTTTCAGGCATGACAAAACACACTTTTGCCACGCCGATCCATCTCCCTCCCCAGATGTTCACTGCTCCCCTGTGGGATAACCCAGCAGTCAGGCAGGCTGTGGTGTAGCACGTGCCCACATCCCCCAGGCTGTGGTGTGCAAGGATGAGGCAGATCGAGGGTTTTGGGTAAGGCCACCCCCCAACACACACACTCGCACCCCCTCCGGCCCGAACTGCAGGACGTCCTGGAGAATGGTCCTTTCTATCAGAGTGTTAAGCGCCCAGCTTCCCAACAGTCCAGTTCTAATTTCAAGGTCCACTTAATTCTGCATCAAGTAATTACTGGTATACCCAGAAGCACCTTGTCTCCAGAGTTAAGCATATGGTGAAGAACTGAGACCTACTGCTATCCATTATGGAAGCAGCACGGATGCCAAGCCGATTAAAAATGCTCCGGTTCCCCACACAACGGGCGGCTGAGTGACAGCCCCGAGACGAGACGAGGCCAGTCGCACAGTCTGCCAAAACAGCTTCGGCTGCGCCCGGGCCCACATGGCGCGTGAGAAAACAGTTCCATTTCTGGTCTTAAATTCCCATACTGACCCGAGGACTTTGCCGGGAGCTCAGCAGGAGCGCGCCATCCAATTTACAGCTCGGCGCGATGGAGCCTCCGGCGCTGGCCCCTGGCAGAGACGGATGATGGTCATCCCCTCCAGCTCATCAATTATGCAAAGGCAATAAACGCTCTCTGCAAACAGCACCCGGGACGTGGGCCTAGCCTGGCTCCGCACACACTCTGTAAAAAGCCAGCCGCGCGCAACACATACAGGGGGCTCTATTCCATGCAGGAAGCGGGGGTCTGTTGACACCCCGAGGGAAGGAGCGGCTCAGGCCCCAGGGGTCTTTGGGCTTGGCTGGTGGTTTAGAGGATGCCTGCTGTAGGGCAGCGCGCGGCTGTTCTACAGAGCCAGGGCGGGTTGGATTCATGGCTTCCAATTCATGTTTCACACACTGGATGGCTTTCATGGTCCAGCTGTTGGTAGTATTGGGGCCCAAATGATTCTTGGTCCTCAGACGTACGAAGAAGAAGTGCCTGTATCCCAGCCCCAGGTGCCCACTTGGATTTCTAAGAGTTCACAGTCTGAGGGGGTGAGGGGTGGGGGTGCTGGGGAAATGGGAAGGACTGATTCCCCGCTGACTCGACTGTTTTGAGCTTGTTGACACCAGGGGTCCTGCTCTGGTTGATCTCCATGGTCTCTGTTTTCCAAGCCAGAAGATGGAAAGGCACAACTAGCCATTCCACCACAGACGGGGGGACATTGATGGACATGCAGTCTTGAGACAAAGGCTTCGCCCAGGCACTGCACGGACAAAACAAGTTGCATGCATTGGATGCAAAATTAGAAATGGCCTGATTCCGAGCTCGGGACATGCCAACACGGCCACATCTTCTCGTCCACTCCTTCCTGTGGGTCTAACCAAGATCCGTCCCCTAAACTTGCCAACCCACCCACCTGGTTCTTTTCCTTCTGGAAAAGTTGTATGTGTATGCCAATCCTTCTAAAATGTCTTCAATCATTAGGGAAAGATCATGAGCATGCTTCAAGAATTCCTTCTAGTCTTTCTGAAAAAGACCACCATCCCCAGTTCTGAAGGAACAGAATACAAATTCCTATTGCATTACTTGGTTTCTTAAAACGACAACAACAAAAACGTGTGATATATTCGAACTGAATGGGTGAATGGTTTTGGTCTTGTTCCATCATTTTAATGAATGGCTGCCCTAACACCCACTACAGGCTTCAGAACATCATCCTTAGTAATAATGATAACAACAGCAGCAATAGCAGCAGCAGTAGTAGTCATCCCCAGTGCTGAGTATTTAGATCATTCAACTTCCAATGGAATATTCTGGAATCTTTCCATCTGCACACATTCTTTCCGGATATCTTTTCACGGCGCTCTCTTTTCTACACGTTCTTTAGTGTTATATTCTCTCCAGAGTTGCATTTGCCATTGTATTGCTTCTGCATGGTTTCCACGGGAACCGTTACCCGGTCCCTCAGTTCCATCGATCCATGTATGTATATGCTGACACGAAGGCAGCTCAAGGGCTTTAGGAATGTTAGTTAGACTCTCTGAGCCTCAGTGTACTCATCTGTGAAAAGCGGCTAAGTAACATCTCACCTCCTAAGAAAGGAAGAAGAAACGAGTTGACACCCGCAGGGAACAGACAACCCTTGGCTCTTCGTATGCCCACCCCCTTCTTGAAACCATGTCAATACCTCAGACTTAAAAATCTAGATGCGCACACACCAGTTTTTACTCATCCTGAACCTCCTGGCTGGTGCACTGAGCGATGTGTTGTGCTGACAGCCTGAAGGTCAACAGTTTGGAACCCCCAGATGCTCCGTGGGAGGAAGATGTGAATTTTTGCTCCCATAAAGAGTTACAGTCTCAGAAACACACGGGCAGTCCTACTCTGTCCTACAGGATGGTATTGGTCGAAAACAGTCATGGTAA